CTTCTGCTAGCTAACAAAGCAGCACACCACCAAGTGACTCTTTCTTCCATCCATTCAAGGATTGGTAATGCAACAACTGGGCATAGCTTATCACAGCTTTACAAGCTAAGCAAGACTGTTTAACTTGTTGTATGTGATTTAATGCTGTCATTGAGTTATTGTTGTGATTGTTTGCAGTTAGGTCATTGATTAGTTGGCTTCGCCAAAGCTAAGTGTTTAGTTTGCTAATACTGTTCACAAGCAGATTCTTGCACACAACTAAACAATCTCTGCACTAATCCAGACTGTTTGCAACACATATCACAATCACATAGACTCATTAACAAATAGGCTTTCAACAGAGCTACACCCAAACAGGCATCTCAAAGTTCCCGCTTCTTTTCCTTTGTCTTTGTCCTGACCACACGGTCAGACAGACACCTCCCCCAACCTGAAGGCAGCTTTGATTCGGCCATCTTGTAGTTCCCTGTTGTCAACCATTTTGTTTTGTAGGCCAAACGGCTCCTTGATCACCACACCCGCCTTTGTCTTTCTCTTTTCTCTCTTGCACACACACACATATACACACCAAGCTTGTATATAGTTAGTTAGAATTTGTGTGTTTTGGTTTGCTTTGCTAGTTTGTGAATAAATATAATTCTTTGGAATCATACCTGCTGTCTGTTTAATGTTGCACAAGAGTGAATGAATGGTCAACCGCTGCTGTGTCAAGAACTCCGAAATCCTTCAGGCGTTAATGTTAATTTTGGTTGTTGTCATTAATTTAATTATTAATCAAACTCCAAATTAATAGTTTAACCTATTTTCTGAGACTGATATCTTTAAATGGCTATCATTTTTCCCTTTACGGGAATGGTGCCCCACGAGGTGATTTAATGTTAATTAAGTCACATTATTTGACATGATTATTAATTATTGACAATAATTATTAATTATTTCCGATAGCCAATTAAATCCCTACATATTTGGTGCCTCCGTGTGAAGCCCAAATTTATGTTCCCAACAGTTGCATATTAGCATGCATACATACATAATAAAAGAAATACAATCACAAATGCGAGCTGGAATACTTCTGGTTCTGATTATATGTAAGTGATATGAGAGAACCTAGTTGTAGTGTGGATTGGATACCCATGGAAGGAAGATACTTCCTATGCCAGCTGTGCTTCATATTCATACAATCTACTGTTTTTGAACAATCTTTTAAATTTGTTTAAAGTGCTGCTGTTTTTCATTTCATCTCTACATTCATTCCATATTTTGACTCCTTTGACTGTGATGCTGTGATATTTGGAATTGGTTGTTACCAAGGGTTTACTGAACATATCCAGTCCTCTCAAGTTGTGGTGTTTGTCTCTTGCTTGGAACAAATTCTGAATATTTTGTGGCAATGACTGATTTTTATCTTTATACATAATCTGTGCAGTTTTGAGGTCAACTAAATCCTAAAAAATGAGTGTTTTTAGTTTGATAAAGAGTAGATTTGACAGTTCACTGTAGGTGGTCTTGTTTACTATTCTTATCGCACTTTTTTGTAGTGTAAATATTGGTTTGGTGTTGGCACTGTACGTGTTCCCCCACACCTCCACACAGTAAGTTATGTATGGAAGTATAAATGAGCAGTACAGAAGGTATAATGACTTTTGACACACGAGATCTTTAATTTTGTAAAGGATTGCAACTGGTTTTGATATTTTGTTTTTAATATAATTAATGTGTGGTTTCCA